CACAAATTCGGTGAGTAGCAGCTGAGGGAACTGATGGTGTTTAGCCTGGAGAAAAGGAGACTCAGGGGAGACCTTTATCACTCTCTTACAGCTATCTGAAAGGAAGCTGTGGTGAGATGCAGGTTGGTCTCCTCTCCCATGTAACAAGCAATAGGGCAAGGGGAAATGGCCTCAAGTTGCACCAGGGGAGGTTCAGATTGGATATTAGGAAAAATTTCTTCACTGAAAGAGTTGTTAAGCATTGGCACAGGCTGCCCAGGAAAGTGGTGGAGTCACCATCCCTGGAAGTGTTAAAAAACTGAGTAGATGTGGCACTTAGTGCTATGGTTTGGTTGGCATGGTGGTATTTGGTTGAAGGTTGTACTTGGTGATCTTGGAGGTCTTTGCCAGTCTTAATGATTCATGATTCTAAATCACACCATGTGCCTGAGGGTCCACTTTTGAACTCTGTCAGGCTTGGTGCCGTGACCACTTCCCTGGGGAGCCTGTTCCAGTGCCCAGTCACCTCTGGCTGCCAACCACCCTCTGGGTGAAGAAGCTTTTTCTAATACCTAACCTAACCCCCACACACAGCTTCAGGCCATTCCCTCAGGTCCTGTCACTGGTCGCCAGAGAGAAGAGATTAGTACCTGCCTCTCTGCTTGCCCTTGTGAGGAAGTTGTAGACTGCTATGAAGTCTCCTCCCAGCCTTCTCCAGGCTGAACAAGCCAAGTGACCTCAGCTGCTCCTCATATAGTTTCCCTTCTAGGCCCTTCACCATCTTCACAGCCTTACTGTGGATGCTTTCTAATAGGTTCTTATATTCTGGTTCCCAAAACCGCAGACAGGACTTGAAGTGAGGCCACACTAGCACAGAGTACAGTGAGACATTCACCTGGACTGGCCAGTGATGCTTGATGTACTAATAGCTTAATGCAACAGCTTGAAAAAAAGGATTTTTCTATTTTCCGTCAAGTTTGGACAGTGGTTTTACAGTGAAGGTTGCTTTTCCTGTACAGAATCAGGCAGAATTTAAAAAGTGCATGTCCACTGCTTCTAGAGATATCTTATACTTACAAATGTAGATAAAGATTTTTAAACAAAGAATATAAACTCAATAATGTTGATGAACATATGTAATCAATCTAAAACATATCCAGTTTAGATACAGGGCAAGATACATTTATGGGATCTTTTGAAAAATATTTGAAGGATTTATCCGTAATAGAAAATTTTGCAAGGCTCCTACTTTTTTTTTTCCCAAGGCTTCTACCATTTTTTAGTCCCTCAAATCTTTTGGGAGAAGTCCTTAGCCAACTTAGACTGAGAAAGTAT